AATTAAGATTTTTTTACCAGCATATGTAACTTTAATGGAAATCTCTAGGCCAAATTAAACAATGATGTAAATGATACTGTAAGTAACAATCTGGTGTAAGAACATAAGAATGGCTCTACTGGGTCAGACCAAAGGTCCATCTAGCCTAGTATTCTGTCTTCTGACAATATGTCAGGTACTTCAGAGGAAATGAACAGAACAGGCGGTTACCAAGTAATCCATCCCCTAATGCCACTTCCTAGCCTCTAGAAACTAGTAATGTCAAGGAGGATTCTGAAGGGACATCTTTTTAAGGTCTATTCTGGGGCATGCCCCTGGAAGAAAGGCATACAGTCTGCCCATCAGCTTGAATTTTGAAAACTTGGAATAACTGCTGAGTACAATGCTCAACCTCAGCTGGTAGGGCAGTCAGTGAGTTTAACCTAGGTCATTTAAATTAATGAGAGTTGATTTTATTTCTATTGTGTTCCATATTTTATTTCTATTGTGCTGATTTCTGTGGCACACTGGAAGAAAGGGGGGGGGGATATAAAAGGAAAAGTAAATGATGGCTGAGCTTCTAAGGCAGGACAGAGGTTTATTTGAGGGCACATTTTCAACCCACACTCCTTTTCTCCAGTCAGTACCAACTACATTTTACTGACCTGACCACTACACAGATTAGGTAATTCATCACTACTATTTATTACAAGGATTTTCTTAGTAACATTATATTGTTTTAAGGTTTTTGTTTTGTAATTAATCATATTAAAGTGCCCATACAGTTATTCAGCTATGTTTTCCAGAGGGCCAAAGAACTTAAGATCAGAGTTTTAACTATCTTTTCATATAAAAAGCCCCAGGTATGTCTGTACTAGAAGTGTTTCACTGGTAAAGAAATACCAATATACTATCCTGGCAAATGATCATTGTGAGGACACAGCTATGCTGGTATAGTACAGCCATCTCTTCTTAACTAAACAACCTGTACTGATTAGAGCACAGAGATTTCTGTAGACATTATTATATTAGCATGGGGTTACTCCTCTTCATGCTGCTGACCAACATAGCTATGACAGCAGAAATCTGTGGTGTGGACCTAGCCAGTCTCTAGCTATGCTTCTCTTATAAAGGCATATCTACATATACAGCATGCCTGGTGAAGACATTCTATGATGACAGCAGCAAGCTCTCCCATTATAATAAAATCACCTCTGCAAGAGGCAGAAACTATATTGCAGGAAAAGCTCTCCTGCCAGCATAGCACTGTCCACACTAGCCTGTATGTCAGTGTAATTTATGTCACTTGGGGATGGTTTGTTCACATAAATTGTGCTGACATAAGATGTTGCATAGACATAGCCTAAGAAACTCCAAATTGAAAGGAAGGAATGCAGTGTTGATACTTTTCACTGACCTGCATGTTTGCTTATGTGGCAACAATAAAAAATGCAAACAAAAGATAACTTTTTAATGCATACCTCTATATGTTGTACAACTACTCTCTAGGTTTTAATAATCACCGTTTAATTGTTCTTTCATAATCAGAGAAACTAAAGAGCTCCTAAATTTAAAAGTCCTCTCACAGCTACAGTGCCTTTTTAAAATCTCTCTTTTACCAAGAATGCTTCCTGTCACTGGGTAAGATTTGCACGTTTCTGGATTGCTCTAGGACAAACAAAAAAAAAAACAAAAGCGTGGGGAGGGGAGGGAAGAGGGGCAGACAGGAGGAAGAGTCTCATTTGTTCATATACACCCCACACATTGACTTGTATTTCCTGTCACATGGTTTTTATGGCTCCTTATTTGGCAGATGTTGGATCACAAATATTTAAAACAAGAATTTCCCCAATAAACCAGTAATTTCAAGTGACTTTCTTCAGCCTTTTATACCCTATTGCTTGGTCTGTGAGCATAGTAGAGTGTATTATAGGTTTTCACTTTCAGGAGTGAAATATTGATCTTTTAAAATCTGGAATGAAATATAAAAGAATCTATTCCAGATTGATTAATTCAGCTGTGCTATGTACTATCATTTTTAAGTAACCTCTCTTCTTTAAGCATTCTTTCATTGTGAATTGAACCTCTGGCTTTTGTATACCTTTCACAATGCAGCCATTTATCTCAATACAAATAGTGGTAGTTTATAGCTGAAGACAGTAATGATCTCATCACTGTTTGTTGAAGAAGAAGAGAATTTATGGCATCTAGTGTATATAAATTGCTTATTTCCTCTCAACCTAGTCACAGTTCTAGGCTATTTATACAGTCTGTTTTTGGATTTCTGTCTTTATTCTGGTTTCTAAAGCAGAGAAATACCTCTGTATCTTACTAAGGACAAATAAACTCAGTTTATTGTGTGGTTGGTGTTTGCAACTTGCCTGATTATCAAAAGTGTCAGAAATTATAAACAATTATAGACTTTTGACCAAAATTCAACAATGGATTCATAGCAGGTGCTGCACAAAGCATTTTCATAGTGCCTTATCTTATTTCTGTGTAGAGAAAATATAAATACCAAAATTTTATATTTAATTAATTTAGCTAAGTATCTGTGTATGTAACATAGTATGATTAGCTGTTAGTACTTATTTGGTATTGAAAGTAATGAGTTAAGAACTCTGAAGATCAACCATTGAGTTTTAGCAGGTGTGGAAAAGTAGGTTACTGGCCAAAGGGTTGTTTTCTAGATTGTAATACTTTTTTATGCACCAGAAGTGAATCTAAGATTCCTGCATTGCATTTTTCTATGAATACTTGTTAGGACAAGGGAATGGCATCTCTAATATCTTTAAGACACATATTTGAACAAAGGTCAGATACAGTGCAGGCAACTGGAGTTAAAACTACCTCCTACTTCCTGTCAGGCCATCCTGCAGAGTCACAGCAGTGATTAAATCTCATCTCAAACTTAGGTCTGTACCTATGATCAAAGACTATCTCATGTTTTTTGTTGGGTTTCTAATGTAGAATACAGTCCCCTTGGGGTCTAAGCTGAAATCAACCATACTACCTTTGTGTATCACCTAAAACTGAAGGCTTGATAGGGCAATTTAGCACATACAAAATGCCTGATGTAGCAGTCTACTCCCATTACCTGCAGGCATAATTTGTGTTGTGGGATAGCCTAGAGGTAGTGTTACTGATTGTTGTCACATGACTCTATGGCTTTTGCATTGTTAATTAACGTCTATATAATCACAAAAAACAGGACTATGTAGCACTTTAAAGACTAATAAGATGGTTTATTAGGTGATGAGCTTTCGTGGGCCATGAAAAGGACAAATCAAATTTCAGAACAGAAGGAGGATGGGGGGGAGGTAAATGTCTGTGAATTAATGATATTAGAGGTGATAATTGGGGAAGCTATCTTTGTAATGGGTAAGATAATTAGAGTCTTTATTCAAACTTAGGCGTACAGTTTTTCATATGTGTTCATTTTTTTAATTGTATCCTTTGGTATATATGGTTGTGACAATTTTCTTCCACTATTTGATCTGAGGAAGTGGGTCTGGCCCACGAAAGCTCATCACCTAATAAACCATCTTGTTAGTCTTTAAAGTGCTACATAGTCCTGTTTTTTGTTTCAGCTACACCAGACTAACACGGCTACATTTCTATCACTATTCTATATAATCACAAAATCAGTAAGGTCTGAGTCTGGTCT